TTGCGTTGTGTGCAATCAGTGCTTGTGTTGTGTGCAATCAGCGCATGTGTGAGAGCATGTAGAAGAGTAGCTCCCACAGTGGTGGTGATGTGGCGTGACGTTGTGGTGTTGTAGGTAACCTGTTTCCTGACTTCCCAGCTATTCAGCGCAAGATGGACACATGCAATCATTCTTTGCCATTCAGCACAGAATGGCCTGAGAGCAACGATTTTCACAGCAATATGGACCGTGGCAATTCTTGTAATGGATCAGTTCCGTTGAAAAAGTCCACAAACCCAATAAGTAAATCGGTGATTGACGCTATCCAGTGCGTTGTACAGCGCACGAAACTACCCCCCCCCCCCACACACCAAACCTGATCGAAGAACATACAAAAATGGGGTTCGGTTGCCACGATGCTGGCTCATTGTAGAGAAATCCTTACTCTTCTTACTCTTGTCCTGATGGTAAAAAAGGTATGCGAGGACCAATCATAGGAGCTAATAGAATTGTTCAGGGCGTTGTTCAATTTTAGGTAGGTTCTGTATCATCTGACGGTTAATTGTATTAGGTTTCACACGTGACCTTCCCTAAAATCTTCACGAGCTAGAAGAAACGTATTACAGCCTATGATTCACCTGTCCTGGATGATTTCCTCTAGTCAAGTTAATTAGAGAAGGTAACTAGCAGATGATGGTATTCTTGTTAGGCGGTTCTAAGATATCATCCTGGACTCTAACGATTTTATTTACAGACGGTTACCATCAGGCCTAATTAGCTTCTAATTGTCCAACACTTTCTCCCCAAGTCCAGATGAGTTCCCCTGTCACATACCCTTCCACATGCAGAGTGATTGAGGTGCTGGCTCCCGGAGCACAGGATGGTTTGCGACACAGAGGTCAATTGGCATCATCCCTTCCTCATTTGGGAGGATCACACCCAGCGCATCTGCGCGAGGCATTGATCAAAACTGAGTTCATGAGCTTGTCAGCAAGAAAAATCCATGCAATAATCAGGTAATTCCTCGTGGCTACGCACAAAGGTGTCATAAACAACGCTATAGTGTTCTGCCTACCAAGTTCATGAGTGCAGTTTCTTTGCTACACGTTTAGGGTAAAGCTGTGCCGCTGTGTGAGCTTGGTTGGATGAGCGTCCTTTGGCAATTGAGTTGTTTCTGCATGCCGGTATTTTGGTGCTGCATGGGATGAGGGCGACCGTCTACTGTTTACCTGGCTCTTAAAAATGTGTTAGTTTAATTTGAGCCCTAAAACCTAGGCCGTCTGATGGAATAAAGTTCAGTGGGGCATCAATGCGAAAATCTTCGACGTAACGCTGGAAAATTTGCTTGGGATGAAGTGCACTTGAAAGGTGAAACATGAATGAGACCTCCGGGTAGCTTGCATATTTTGCGGGATGGGTTCCTTGTAATCATAAGTAGGCGGGGGAAGGGTGCTGTGGGCTAAAGGTTTTTTTCGTAGCCATTGACTATCCTCTGCCTTGTGCTGATTGAGGTACCCCTACCACCCCCCCCCCCTTTCGTCCGCCCCACACGCTAAACCTTAAATCTCGGAAGCAGGATAGGTGTTTCTCAAGGAGGGTTTCCTACATTACCTTTGCAACCCCCATTTCTGCTTCCTTATCCTGGGATAGTATGCATAAGTTCTAGTCCCTAGACCCTAAACCCTCTATCATCATCTTGACCCGGGATGTTGAGAAATCCCCACATTGGCTTTCAAAGAGATGGAGAGAAGCAGCGTCCTAAACTCCCAAACCCTTAACCCCTAAACCCTAAATTCCCAACCAGGCTGCTTTAATTATATGGATGCCTGCGCAAGCAGGGTTTAGGGTTTAGGGTTGGGTGGGAGGATAAAGACCAACACACTGATTCTGGTTGTTGGGTTCTGTTCTTGGATGTGCCTTCGCAAGAAAGCCGCCGCCCCCCCCTTCACACCCCTGGGTGTCTTGGGGCACATGTTGTGTCCAGCTGTCGCGGGACAGGAAGCTCTGAATCCCTAAATCCCTACGCCCTCGACCACCCTAAACCCTTAAACCCTAAACCCCGAAACCCTAAACTTGCACGAGGCGCCAGGATGGATACCACGGGTGGACCGGCAATCTGCAGTTTCTGGGCGAAAGGTTTAGGATCGAGGGTTTAGGAGTTAGGCTTGAGGGCTTTTTTTTGGTGGCGGCTTGGGCTTGAGAGTTCGGCTTGAATTTAGGTTTAGGGTTGATGGTTCAAGGCTTTGGGCTTTGAAGTTTCTAGGACCCCGTTTTAGCTGTTAAGAAGGGAGGGATACTACGGTCCCCAAGGTTCAGCTTTATGTTTTTTTGTTTCTAGTATTCTTGAAGAGGAAAACAGTCCTGCTTCTTCAAACATCAAGAAAGCACCGCTCATGTGTGTAAGCCGGTCCTCTTATACACCCCAATTTATCCTCAGGAACTTGTGCAAATCTGCATGTCGTTCGCCGTCCCATTTCAGTCCAGGGGGTGATGTAGGATGTTTTTTGTTGAGCAGTGAGTTGAAAAGTTGTGGAGAGCCTTCTGTAGCGACAGTCCCACAGGTAACTGTCCGGGATTCTCAGTGCTCCGTCTGTCTTCTGCAGCCTCAGCAGCCTCAGCAATTTACCTTGTTGATATTAACCCCGGGGTTACCCTGAGCCGCGAACTTGCAGGTTGGAGTGTCAGCAGAAGGAAAAGCGCTGGACAAGGGTGCAGATCAACTTTGGGACCAGCTGGGACAACGAGAAGTGCATCGATCATCACCAACAAGAGTATATTCAATGTGCTTTGGGCTTCAAAGGGGCAAAAAGCCTCCAAATGGTAATGCCTTCAATAAACACCCGCCTAATGGTAGTTATTGTAAGTATCTCCCGTATAGTATACTACACTAGGCTGGGACCATGCAGTGTCAGCGTTGTGGGGTGTGCCTGGGATTAGTCAACACCTCGGACCCCCACTTTGCAAGGGAAGCGGGGGCAAGTAGAACGGAATGAGTTACCGGGACTTTTGGCGGGGACTAGTGGGGATATGTTAATACGTCGCCTAAAATCATGATGTAGATTGCAGACTATCTGAGGTGACTATTTGGCGGGAAATCCGGAATACCGCCTTTGGGAGCAGCATCATGGCGACTCCTTCTACATTGAGCACAAAGATGCTAGGCTACCAGAGATAAAATTCCCCACCTCGCCTTCGAGAATGAGGCCCTTAGGCCTGGACCTCCCTGCGTTAAGAAATCCTAGAGTTCTATAGGAAGATGTGCAACAGAGAATAACAAAATCGACAATGGTTGGCTCTGAAAGAGGCTTATGGGGGGAGACCTACGAACATGGCTCTATCATGCCAATAGCCAGATGCTGTTGCGATTGCTCCCCTTTGCCCAAGCCCCTTAACTACAACCGGATGGCTAAGAAACTGAAACTGGGAGGATGTAAGGGCTTCAGAGGGATAATGGCTTTTTGCCGCTTTACTCTAAACCCCAAACGCTGAACTCTAAACTCTACAGCAGAAACCCTAAACTTGGCCCTAAACCCTAAACCAAAACCGTGTGGCTAAGAACAACCAGATTTGTGCTCGCCGTACTGACGCTGCTGCTGGCTGGGGACTGTACCTTGGAAGTTATCGGCTTTGCAGGCTAGGGTTTGCAGTTTAGGGTTTCAGGGTTTTCTGTGCCAAAAACCATTCAGTTCATAGTACTTGGGACCTGGAGCCTTTAGAGCTACGGTGCTTTTGTTGTGGTTTTGCTGTTGTTCTGGGGGCGTGCGGGTGGTTGGCCCTTACAATTTGAAATTGATGTCTCGAAAGGAAAATTGGCAATCGACATGGAGACAGTTTTTAAAACAACGGCCTAAAAAAAAGCAAGTAGGGGTTAAACAGTCAAGCAGAATCCGAAAGCCCTGCCTGGAAGTTCCCTTGCAGAAGAAGCATTTCATATGGATGCATGCAAACCCTAAACCCTAAACCCAAGCCCAGGAACTTGCAGATCCATTGCAAGCAATACACCTTCAAAATCCGGGAGATGGTGGCAAGAGTCTGGGTTGCTGTTGAGGAAGTTAGTTTCGGTTTCCATAGGACTAGTATTTTACTTGGGGATCCACAAACAACACTACTCATGTGAACTATAGTCTAAACTCCATAAAGGGGCTTACTATGGGATTAGTGTTTAGGGTGGAGGGTTTAGGGTCTAAACTCCTTAAAGGGGTTTTATAGGGGATGAAAGCTCATATTCTGGTAAGTAATACAGAGTTTCCTTGTTGATGTAACTTAAAAAAGTTGATTAACAGCTACTCAGGAGTTCAGGCACAAGTGGAGCGCACCGTCAGCGTGGTCTCGAACGTAACTTGGCGCTGTTCAGGTTGGGTATGGCAAAAAGGTTTTCTCTCTCTCTATCTCTCTCTCGCGCAGTCATGGCGCTTTCCCAAAAGCATCTTTTTTGGAGGTTCTTATAATGAGCATCGTCTTGAAAGGGCATAATTTGTCGGGCCCCTATTTCTGGAATCTCCCACAGGACGTATTTGCAAGTGGTCGTTGATCGCCTCTGGTGATCCGTTTGGCCTTTGGAGTGCTTGTAGAGCATGACGTCAGGTAGATATCATGTTTTTTAGGTGCGTGGTTGGACCCTATAGACCCTATACTTTAAACCCTAAATGCGAATGTATGTCTCTTGATTACTCTGGACAAAGAAGTATATTGAACAATGGATACTTGAAGGTTCAACTTTCAGGAAGTCATGGACCCTCACATAGCCGACTGTTGACTCAGATCCTATCGAGATTCTCGTTCCGATGATCTGAGCCGGCGAGCTGATCATAAACTTGCTCCAACATGGCTTCGCAAGGAGCTGGAGATCCCATGATATCACCTTTGGCCACCCCTCTCGTAGCGACCACAAAGAACATATTTTGGGTTCCTCAGATTTCTATTGTACCAGCTTTGCGGGGTAGGGGGGCCGAACCCAACTCTGTACCATTTACCTGCTGGGCGGCCGGGATGGAAGTGTGGGGGCCGTGAAATGGGAACACCCAAGACCACAAAAAGACGCCTCGGGGCTGGCTAGAGCTAGGGAGCTGGGTGGTGGGGGGGAGATAGGATACTGGGGGTGTAACAGAGTGGATAACTTGAATTGTGTCCTTATTTGGACCCAGCCCCTTACCATCACTCTCCCTTCCACCCTCTAGATTCCCATGGTAGAATCAGACCTCTTCGACTTAAGGCCTAAACCCTAAACCTAGTGTAGACGATCATGAGACGGGAAGTAGATGACTCTTCCCATGATTGATGAGAATCGCTTTCTTACCATTATGACGGTTTAGGGTTTAGGGTTGTTGTTCTCATTGTCACTACTATGCACGGTATCATCCAGATAGTTTAGTACAGAAGATCCTCATTGAGCACTTCCTGCGTCGAGGCTGCCAAAGTTCAAGGACCCCGAAACTACTTGTCATAAGGGTAGGGTGCCCTTATGCGTAGTAGGAAATCGGAAAGTGCAGTATGGCTGGGGAGCGGCGGGCCTAGGCTTTACCGTCAATGCTGGGTAGTGGTTCAGATTCTTCGGGCTAGGATGACAGCAAGATCAACAATATTTCCGGTACCAATTACTCATGGCACCAGCAAGTATGATTGTTGCCACTATTTCTGGAGACACGAAGCTGTCGCTCTCAGACCCAAGCATGGACATTTGACTCTATATGAGACACTGCAGAAGCCCACTTTCAACAATAAGAATCCCTCCTAGTCCTTATGTTGAGGAATGTATGTAGTAGTCTGGGGTATGTCATGGGGCCCCAGCTTTGGAAGACCCATCTTACATTATGATGCATATTTCCAAGATTATGTACTTGCTTCCAGCTTTCCTGTGGGATTAGTGTTCAAAGGCTTAGGGCTGCAGGTGTTGGGTGTCCAGGATATAGAAGACGGCATGGAATCATGAACTGCAGTGTATGTGTTGGGTGGCCCCCGACCTATAATAGTGATGTAGTAGGAAGGAGGTGTGGGGTCCACCTAATTTATGTAAGCTTGCGATTCGTGTTGGATGTAAGCAAGGAAAAGCCTTGAATCCTGCACATCAAGGTTCTCGCGCACCCCATGCTTCTTCCCCCTAAATCCCTTATGGTTTGTTTCTGCCTGGGGGTTGGGGAAAGTCCCTTCCAGCAGTGGAAGCTTTGAAGCCATGGCGGCCATCCATAAATCATACGCATGCCTAGCTGGGAATGGGGGGGGGAGAATTCTCCCTGCAGCATCTAGAAGTCTATATGCAATCCTTCGGGGTCCGACAAATGTCCATATAATCCAAGCCCCATTCCCTACTAAAGGCAGGGCTGCCGGTTCAACCACCAACAAGCATCTCTGCCAGGTAAGCCTTCTAATCGATACTAGTTTGAGACACATCATCTCATATGCTCTATTGTCAAGTGTTAAAACTTTATTGGGCTTCAGCATAGTTAGAACAATTAGGCTGATTTCCCGCAATGTCCCACACTTTGGGGAGTGTGTTCTTAACAAGTCTGGTGCTGAGAAAGGTGCCCTTCTTTTGGGAACAGTAATTCACGCAACTTCCAATGTGTATCCTATCGGCCAGGAGAGGGAGCAGCCTCAACATGTTGCGTGGGCCTCTCCATTTAAGGGCACAGACCAATCACCATTGTAGGAATGAGTTCCAGCAAATGATTTAAGAAATGCAAAGTAAATTACACTACTATTGTAAGGAAACCCCATTATGTACGATATATCCATAAAATGGTAGCTTAATTTAAGCTCCTGAACAGCAACCCAGATGACATTATGTACTACTGCAGATATGCTGGTCATGGCCGACCACGGCCAACTACTGCGACTGCAAACACTTCTACTGATATTGACAACACCGACCACGTTGGCCTAACATTCCAGATGACTGCTCACGGGGTGAATAGCATGACCCTGCTCAACCCCTCAACCCTCTAAACCCTTTCATAAGGCCTTTAGTGTGTGTTCAGGAAGATGTAAACCACCAGCCAAAGCTCTTTCGACCTGTAGATCACAAGTGCTAAATAAGTTGGAGGTTTTTTCTGCTGGCAGCTCAGTTTGCGTTGATGCTTGGCACGTCCTTTCTGACTGGATCTTCCACGTACCAGTTTGGGCTGGCACATCCTTCCTGGATCCTGCGTGTACGAGGTGCCGAAAGAAAGCAAGTGCGAGTGTTGGACCTTATTGAGGCTGTGTCGGGTTGCTAAGACGGATGCAGCTGGCATGGGCGGCACATGAGTTTGTGTAGTTGCTGTTTCCACTTCAATTCATGTTCGCAAGCGTCCGGGTGCGGAGGCGCCGTGCCTGGGGTTTGCTTCAAATCGGTAGGACAATCACTGCAGTATATGATCTGCAGTCTAAATTCCGGAAAGGGGGGTTCTACAAGGGATTATATAGGGGACTACTATAAGTGTTTTTCAGGGGGATTCTAGGAGTTTAGACTATGGCTCACATAAACTTTCTCCCATGAAGGAAGCCGCGTGCTTCACTGCTCAGATAGGCCTCGAGGCGATTAAAGAATGCTTATAGGCATTAGGGCCCAATGTAGGTGTTCTTTGCATGCTATTGTATAATTGGATCCCTAGGGATACAGAACAGGTTACATACCCATTATTCAATGAATAAAGGTCGCATTCTTGAAGATTTGAGCTCCGGAAGCATCTTCTTATTGGTTGTTTTGACTTGTGCAGGATGCTTCTCAGGTGGCAGATTTTACGGGGTTGTTACATTGAGTAATTATTGGGGACTTGTCGTATGAAACCTTAGGTTGAAGAGAGGCATGAGGTTGAAGATTTCTTAGCAACCCTAGCCCTAAAGCCTGGGCTGTCGGAAGAAATTTCCCGACACATCTGAAGGCTTCGAGGTATCCAGCTGAAACACCACTGTCGTCCGGCGAGAATAGGTAGAGTTCAGCACACATGAGCTATAGTTTATAAACTCCTTACACGGGGTTATATAGGGGAGCATTATAGGGGGTTATGAAGGGGGATAATAGGACTATAGCTCAGATGGACACAGCATCCAGTCATGGAAGCCACTTGTCAAGAAAATGGGCAGTGGCAGGTGCATTTGGCTGGCCACTATGGCTCGAAAAAGTCAGTTTTTGACTAGCGTCGCCCGCTGCGCTGAGCACCGCAATGAAGCGGCTTGCTTCACCCACTTGGAGGTGCCTTTGTCTGAAATGAGAATGCTCGCAAAAACACTTGAATGCTTTGATCCCGAGCGCCACCAAGAATAAGAAGAAAGCCCCTCGCGCAGAGATCTTCATTGTTTCTGTGCCAGGAGATGGGATGTTTCTCAGGAACGAATAAGATTCAGCAGAAATTCTTATCCTGACTGCGTGAGGACTGTAAGCATGGTTAGCTGGACTGCCACCCAGTAATAGTGATTAGAAGGGATAACGGTGATTATGTTAGGGTCCTCTTTTTCTTATTATACCACTCTTACATGGCGGGGGGGTCCACCCAAAGCATACTTGAGTGCATGCGATTCTTTGAAACAACGCTTCAGGTACTTCTCGCTGTTGCTGCTGCTCTCGCTCATGAATGAAGCACTGACCTTCAAGGTCACGTCGTGCCCAAAATCCCAAACTCTAAACCCTACAGACTCTGAAGCCCTAGGACCGAAAGAGAGACTGCCCTAAAACCGCCAAAGCGCTAATCCCGAAACCCTGAAGCTCCCTGAAAAAATTGCCGCGAACACACAAAACCAAAAGAATTTTTATGATAGGATTGAGGGTAAAGGGCTAAGCCCTGCTTGAAGGTCACCTCAGGCCCCAGTCTTCTTCAATCCAATGCTTCTGCAGCCGAAGAGGAGGCCGGAGATGCCATGAGAAGGAGCTTTGACTTTTTAGGTTTTCAGTATCTTTTAGTATTCTGTTTTTTGACCATCCCAATACTATGGTCCGGAATCTCCACGGTCGTTCTTCCAGCACTCGCAAAGGGTTTAGGGTTTAAGTCACACGCATGAGATGCCCGAGTCTTCTTTGTGACGATTGTCGCTGTCTGACTTGTTTATACAACCTCAGAACTGCCAACAGTCAGAAGTATGGGGCAGTTCCGGATCGCCCGTGCATGTCAGCGTCGCGAACTTCGTGAAGTTCCTGCGGAATCCCCAACAATACTGCACTCCTGATATTCATCTGCATACTGGATACCTCCCCATACCAAATATGATTTACATATTCCCAGAAAAATAGGCGAGACAGTTGTTATTCGCACCTCACATCATCCCTCACCTGCATTTAGCTGAGGTCATTAACATCCTTCCCCCTACGCCGCGGTGCAGGGGCTCCCCATAGATGCCCGCATTTCTGGGTTGCTGTTGAGGAACTTAATTTAACTTGCTGTATTGGGGAAACCCTATTCATTACTCGATATATATATATATGTATATGTATGTGATGTATATATACCCATTATGGTAACTTTATTTCAGTCCCTTAACAGCAGCCCAGATTTTGAGTAAGGTCATTCAGATATTTGCCCTTTACCCTGTGATGTGGATGGTTGCCTTCATCATTATTCTGCGTTGGTGAAGTCGTTCAATTTTGGGCCTGGCGGCACGATTTTTGAGGAGTTTCAGGGCAGGGCCTTATCCTTATTTCGACCCAGAACGGAACCCCCATTGTGCTGATGATGTTCGCCCCGTACGCGAGCATCATCAGCTCAATTGGGACCAGGAAGGCAGGCTGACAATGCCTTGGCCCACATGTACTTTTTTGCTATTCAGAAGCAATATTTGAATGTATGCGGGAGATTAGATCGGTGTACGAGAGCCCCAGAAACGCTGGAAATGTTGGCAAAACACCGAAAATGCACAGCTTGGTGTTTTGCCTGGGTAAAAGCCTGTGGCTCGTCTGTCATGCAGTGATTGCAGTGCAGGTCCTGTCAACTCTGGTATTTAGACCTTCAAAAACTGCCCGCAGCGTGTATTTTGAGCTTTTTGTTGGGGGGTTTATAGCGCAATTCAGGGTCCCAGCAGCCCCCAAGAGCCAGCATCAAGCATCATGGGGCCCTTCTGGGCCGCCAACTTCCTGGTTGACACCACACATGAGGTTCCAACACCTCTCACAAAACCTGAGAATCGAAGGCCGAATTGTGCCATCCGCCTGCTGGGGAGAAGCCCCAACACGCCTCAAAGTGTCATCCTCACTTATGACCTTTCAAAAGCATGCCTCCAGGCTTACCTCCAGAGCTTACCCAGGGGCGGCGGTGCGGTCCGTCGGCACAGGCGTCACCCCGTATAAACATACTTCGCAAGGCGTGCATCTGCACTAGCTACTTTTACCTCATACCCTCCGCGGTATTGCTAGCTTTCCTCCTTCCAGAACTGTCAGCTACCTCGCAACTGACTCTCAGCACGTAGCATGCAGCATCAAACCTGGCATTTTGCAGAGGTCATTCATATCTTCCATCTTCACCTCTCCTAGTGCGGATGGTCTTCTTCCATTCGCAGTTGTTGGCATTCTTGTAATTGATAGCCACCATGCCGAATCAAGACCTGCCTTTGGTTGAGGTTATCAAGACGTCCTCCCACCCGGTCGTGTGGACAGTCTTCTCCCTCGGATCTTCCGGGTGTGGGCGCCACTAGTGATACAGTACGATCTAACAGTCAGCAGCATTATTCGGTGAGTTGTTGCTCTTGGCGTAGGCAGTGTTGATCTGGAATTGCGGGACTACGCCTGGATCAATTAAGCCTCAAGCTGTTGCACAGCTCGCTCAGATCTACCCCCTCTGCCCAGTGGTTGCTGTTGTTGCTGTTGTCTCTCCCCCTGTGGCATGGATTGTGGTGGAGATGGTGATGCCGAGCTTACGTCATCAGCTTCGGCAGTGTTAAGAGGACGTCATCGACAAGTCAAGGTCAGCTCAGACGAGACCATGACAATATCAACCTCGAAAGGGTTGGTTTCAGGGAGCAACGTTCATGATGATGAGAAGAAACAGTCAGCAAAATTGAAGTGCTGTTGCCGTTTTGTAGCAGATGAACGGAGGTACGGCCTGCAGCACACAACGGGTTGGCTCAAATGTAGGCAAAGGCACGGAAGCCACAGACAAGGCATAGACACGTTGAGACGCTTCGCAATCGTGAATCCACTCTTTTCCCACCAGGAACCCATGAGCTTGAGGATGCCATTACCGTAGATGTTCCGCTCAAGAGCCATAAGCTAAACTCCTCAACGGGGTTATAAAGGGATGATATAGGAGACTACTATAGGGGCTGTTAAGGGGGGATACTAAGAGTTTAGATTATTTAAAGCTCATAAGTGGCCGACATTTCCCTATCCCTATTTCCCTGCAACGTTCTTTTGTCAGGCTTCTAAGATAGTTGCCGCCGTCGATCGGTGTTTGGCCCAACGAATGGTTGACGCCGAGACTGGGTTGCTGCTAAATAATTTCAGTAAATTACGATATTCGTGGTACCCACATTGATTATGACAAATATAATCCCTGCAGAGCCCTTACCTCACCCCGGTGTCCATGTCACGTTCCCTTTTCTTTTCCTTTGATTCTCCATTATGGGCCCCTATTTCACCCAATATGGGAACTCGTACTACGTTCCTTAACAGCAGCCCTGAACCCTAAACCCTAAACCGCAACCCAGGAGACGGATGACTGGAAGCTGGAAAGACTAAACAAGGCCTGTGCTGTCGTAATAAGGGCCTCCCCTTGTATGCTCAGCTGGGTTGCTGTTCAGGAGCTTTAATGAAGTTACTACAATAAGGGTATATAATAGGGTTTAGGGTATATAGCGTTTAAGGATTTAGGGTTATTATAAGAAGGAAACCCCATCATTTCCTATATGCCCATATTATGGCAACTTACTTAAGTTCCTTAGCAGCAGCCCAGTCACAAATGCGATCATCTTTGTTTTGGGGGCCCCCAAGAAGGGGACCCTGTAATTTTGGAGACCCTCCCGTGTTGTTCTTCTCTGCATCTGTGAGTTGCCTTTGGTGCTTAGGGTGTAGGGTTACCCTTTACCCTAGACCCTAAACCCTTCTTTTCCTGGGTTCCTCCTGGGGCCCTTCAAGGTCCGCACGGCGGATGTTGTGATGCGCCTGGTCAAGTCCAAGGCAGCGAGGAATGACATGAGCAGCATTTTAGTTGAGGAGGTTCTCGACCCCAAGAAAGAATTCCATCATATCTTCTTTTTGGAGTATAGTGTTTTGGTCTCATGTGGTTACACCGTCAACAAAACGCCATGTAGACGAGCAGTCTTTTGGGCTTAGGGGGGCTATGGGTGATCCGCCGCTATCGTTCCCCCCAGAAGTCCTCCCCAACCCACTGACAATTCATATCCTGTTTACTTGGGGATATGTGCCCTTAGGGGATTATGATTAGGAAGCGTGTGTTTTTGGGAGAGGGATTCTGGTAGGTCTTGAGGATTCTACAGGGTAATTTAAAAGCTTTCATATGCCATATGGAGATTCCCGACAGGCGCCTGCTTGCAGTGCCTCGAAGAATCATGACACAGTTGATGGGCACACATCCTGCATGGCCTTTTATACCTGGAGCTTGGCAATCATTTTTCCACAGTCGAGTTGGTAATTTCCCAAAATTTGGGGTACGTCTTGGGTGAAATTCCTGCATGAAGTATTTGGGTTCTATTGTAGGGCCCCCTTAGGGAAGCTACCAACCCTAGACCCTGAAGCCTATACTTGAGGTCAATCAGGATTCATCGTTTTCTAATATTGCTTTGCAGAGCCACGACACAGTCAGAGAGTAAGGGTTTAGGGTTTAAGATTTAGGTTCTAGGGTTTAGGGTTTATGGAGGTGCCGCGAAGATCCTCGTAACTAGCACGCTGCAAGAATGTAGCCTCAGAATCTTGAAAGGCCTGCGCTCCCTCTTAATTTGACCTCCCCCAAAAGTCCACCTGGAAGAGATTTCAATTGGCATGCGGCGGCTTCGATCAGAGTCCCGAGGGTATGATTAGCATCCAAAACCGCCTTAACCTTCAAAGAATGTGTCTGAACCATGCTTTGCTCACCCATGACACATTCGCAGAATACCGCGTCTCAAAATTCCTGGTGAGTGCAGCTTGAATCTGACCTCCCTGTACCCTAACAGCCCGCATGCAAAAGACTTCATGTCCCTGCAGACAGATCCTTGCACAGCAGCACCCAGAAACAAAGCTTCAGGGACCTGTATCTCATGTTGAAGGTTTGCGCCGCTGAGACCCTAGTTGGACAGTTATGGAAATTGTGCACTTGTAGATGGGCATCTCCAAAACTGGTGGTCCCCCCCAAATCGCCTACATGCCTTTGTATATATATATATGCATATACATATTTGCATACATTCATTCTTATTATCAGGACCCCCCAGCAGCAACCCATAGTCTTTGGAAACCCCTACATTGCACGTGAAAAGAATAATGCTCTTGAGTTTTGGAAATCTGCACATCACGAAACTTATTTGGAGAAAGCTCGCGGGGTATTCTTCAGAGTCCCCCTGATCAGGATTGCAGTGCTTGCGTATATGTACATATATATGGTAATTAAAAAATATATCCAACGAAGACGCAAACTTCTGGAACCCTGAACCGCCTAAACCCTCGAAGAATTTGTCTGAATTGCGCAGATAAGCCTCAAAGAGTTCGGCACCCAATGG